AAAAAAAAAAAGGAAGTACAGTGTATGGACTGTGTTACAATCCATATACAGTGTATAATAAATAACATTGGTATTACTTGTTCTTTAAAAGAGTAGGTAGATAAAACTAATCATGAAAGCTGGGCCTGGAGCTCTATCATAGATCTTTAATCACTTTTCCAAATTCATCAGTGGTAACTGTTCTAACAAGTTTTCTACTTCTTACTGCAATTTCATAACTTATAGTTTGCTAGAAAAGCATCCATTTCCTCTGCTTAAAAAATGTTGATATAGAGTTGTATAATGTGTCTATCATTTTTAAAATCATGTCTCTATCTGTGGTTATATCTCCTTTCTCATTCTGGATTGGACAGTCTTACATGGAGGCAAATCTTGAACAATGTGGATTCTAAGTAGCCTTTTTTTTTAAGATAAAGAGTAGCTCTGGGTTGAGTGCCATTGCATCAGCCTAGCTGACAGCAATCTCAGACTTCACGGTGTAAGTGATCCTCCTGCCGCAGCTCCAAGCACCTGGGATTATATTCACCTACCACAATGCCTGGTTAATGTTTCTATTTTCAGTGGAGACAGGGTCTTGATCTTGCTCAGGCTGTTCTCAAACTCCCGAGATCAAGCAATCCACCTGCCTAGGCCTCCCATAGTGCTAGGAGCCACAGTGTGCCTGGCCTTATTTCTTTTCTGATCTGGATGACATACTAGCTTAAGGAAGCAGTTATTTTTTTCTCAAACACTGGAATAAGGAAAACCCTGGGATTTAATGTCCTGGACAGTGCCATGTAAATTTATAGGAGATGAACCTGGATATTGCTTAATTAATTTGCACAAAAGAAAAGAATTCTCCTTGATTGGTCTCTGCATGAAACACTTATGAATTAAAAGACCTGTAGAAGGCCAGGCTCAAGCCTGTAATCCTAGCACTCTGGGAGGCTGAGTTGGGAGCATTGCTTGAGCTCCCTCAAGACCAGCCTGAGCAACAGCAAGATGTCATCTCTACTAAAAATAGAAAAACTAGCCAGGCATTATGGCAGGTGCCTCTAGTCCAAGCTACTCAGGAGGCTGAGCCCAAGAGTTTGAGGTTGCTGGGAGCTACAATGACTTCATGGCACTCTAGACTGGGAGACAGAGTGAGTCTTTATCTCAAAAAAATAAAAATAAAAACAAAAACAACCCCCCCCCCACATACACATATATCTATAGAAAGAGTACTGTATGTCTTCTACTACTTTGCAGCAAGACTAAGAAAATATGAATAGCAAACAATATACCAGGGAACTACTTTTTTGTCAAATATTGAGTGTGCCAGGTAATCACATTTACAGTGTTTGGTTTACCCAGTAACAGGTTATTAAACAATTCATTAGCTTTGCATTTTCAACATAATTAACTATGTTTTTAGTAAGGTTTTTGGCTCACTTATCAAGAGACATTTAAAAACATTGCTTTGTTATTCCAAAGAGGACTAAATAATACCTGCTATAGCCATTAATGTTTATTACAAAAAGGTGGAGAAAATATAGTTGGTATAATAAAGTTTTTTTTTTAAGTAGACTTGTTATCTTTTGTATTAAGACATCAAAACACAGTGGTGATATTTAGAGTGGAAAAATTTGGTGAATGGCATTTTATATCCTATGTGATATATGTATTTGATACTCACAATTTATGTTAAATTCACATTTACCAGTCCAAATAGTACTGATTTTATGGCTCAGTATGGAATATATTATAGTATACCTTTAAGTCTCTTCATATATATTTTGTATTCTGTTGTCATTCTATTTACTATATCTTTTAACGTTTATGTGCCAGAGACATCAAGTGTATGTTTTATAAAGTATTTTCTATAATTTTTTCTATAACAGTTTCTATAACAATTGGAACATGACTTCCGTTAAGACAAAACACTTTCTCCAAATTCATTCTGTACAACGAAATGGAACATCTTGCTCAAGGCTTTCCCACAATTATTAGGTTTTTATTGCTATAGGCATTTTCCTAGCATGAATTTTCTGATGTCTACTGAGATTTGGCTTCTGGTAAAAAGCTTTGCCACATTCATTGCATCCATAAGGTTTTTCTCCTGTGTGAGTTCTCCAGTGTTTATTGAGGCATGACTTCTGGCTAAAGGACTTTCCACATTCTCTGCAATGATAGGGTCTTTCTCCTGTGTGCATTTTTCTATGTACATTGAGGTATGACTTCTCACCAAATGACTTCCCACATTCATTGCACACAAAGGGTCTCTCTCCCGTATGCGTTCTCTGATGTTCTGTGCGGTGTGACTTCTGGGTGAAGGCTTTTCCACAAAAAAAACATTCAAAGGGTCTTACCCCGGTGTGAATCCTCTGGTGTTTAATGAGGGTTGACTTATGTGAAAAGGCTTTCCCACAGTCAGTGCATCCGTAAGGCTTCTCCCCGGTGTGACTTCTCTGATGCCTAATGAATTCAGACTTGTAGCAGAAGCCTTTCCCACACTCACTACAGACATGGGGTTTTTCTGCAGGTGGAACCCTCTTCCGTTTATATACGAGAGAATTGGTTACTGCTGGTTTATACATAAGTGCTGAGTTATGGCTGAAAGTGTTCTCACAGTGACTGCATCCCCACAGTTTTTCTGCATTAGGTCTTCTATCATGGTTTATATGCTGTAACAATTTCCCATACGCATTACATTCATCTGGCTTTTTTGCACAGTTTCTCTTAAAACCAATCAAGTCTAAATTATGGTTTAAACTCATTCCACAAAGGTCCCAGTTATTATTGTTTTGAATTGAAGAAAAAAGATCAGTGCTCAGAAGTGATATTTTCCCAAACTTACTACATTCACTGCTTTTCTCCTTGGGTAATGTTTTCTTGCTGTTGACTACACCTTGCCTCAAAAACATGTCTTGCCTTCTTTTCCTCTGGACACTAACTTGCCAGATGTCTTCTGCAGAAAGTACAGAGAATCATTTTTTATGTAACTTTATACTAAGAGAAATGCCCTCAAAATTTAAAGGGTGCACAGTAATGAATAGAGGCCATGAACCATAAGCAAAATGCAAGGAAGAGTACTCTGTGAGTAGACAATATTCAGAACACTGCCACAATTGAAATGCAATGTATTATAGAATATAGAAAGTAAGAATTTCAAAGATGATAGGATTATATCATAGAGTAAGCAGGGGTTGGCAAACTTGCTCTTAAAGGGCCAGAGAGTGAATATTGAGGCTTTTTGGCCATATGGTCTTTGTCATAATTACACAACATTCCTACTGTACCATGAAAATATGGACAATGTATAAACATAAGGATATGGCTATGTTCTAAAAAAACTTTATTCACTTGATCCCTTTTATGAAGGAAAGACGTCTAAGTGTTATATAGCACCTTGCTATGCAACATGTGGGTCTTTTAGCAGCAACTTTGGCTCTATCTGACAGAATCGCAGGCCCACCTCAGACTGACTGAATCATTTTAACAAGGTAATCAGGTAATTCTTAACACACTGAAGTTTAACAAGCACTGATAAAGCAGTTATCAGAGAGTTTATCATGTTGGGCTACTTACTTGCAATATCAATGGCAAAGAGCTTGAAGGGGAACTAGATAAATCTGACTGGGACTTAAAGCAGTTCTGGGCTGTGAACTTGAATAGGAAAAAAATTACATTTTTTTTTCCCACTAAGCTCTAACTGCAACTGCACATTTCCTTTGATTATGAATATAAACAGAAAAACTGTAATTTAGCAGTTCTCATGACTTGCACTAGTTTACAAATATTGGTATTGTTGTGTCACACTGCAGTTGTTGACAATTTCTCAAACTATGTTTACAATTATCTCTTCTTTGAGGTCACAATAGTTATTAGACCTGACGCTAGATCTCATTATTAAATGTAGAAATAAAGAAGCACATCTATTAATAAATTACACATTTTGAAAGTATTTTGACAACTATTTTCTATCTTTTATTTTGATAATTATGGTACATATTTTAGTAATTTATTTCTCTCATAATCTTACTAATTTTATTTTATATTAAAAATAAAATTTATATATAAAAATATTTACAAATTTTATTTTTATATATACATTTTATTTAAAATAAAATTGGAGCCATCTCCATATACTGAGGGTGGCAGGTTTGAACCCAGCCCCAGCCAGCTAAAGAACAGCAGTGGCAACTGCAACAAAAAATAGCCAGGGGCTTGGGGCCCGTAGCTCAACCGGCTAAGGCGCCAGCCACGTACAACTAAGGTGGCGGGTTCGAATCCCCA